AAATTAATTCTAGATGGAATAGGTAATATAACAGTCAAAAGAAAATGTCAAGCGGTAAATTATTTGCCTTTCTCCAACAAGAGCCTGAATGCCTTCTCCATGACAGCCTGGAGCAGAGGATTCCGAAGGCTTTATTCGAACGATGGTCTCCCCGTAGGACACGCAGGAAGCCTGACAGTGGAGTCGTTTTGTCAAAGGCGATGCGACTGTCACATCTTTAGACAGCAGCATGCCCGTAACCACGGGGTGTGGATCAGGATCTGCCGTGTTCTGAGAAAACAGGGAGCTGTTCCTGCTCAGCCGCCAGCTCACCCCCTCGGGCTGGGGCTGGGTGTGGGCGCCTAAGACAGGAGGCCAGTTCAGGGGCTGCCCAGGCTGGAGTCAGGGGGAGACCCAGAACCCCAGCTGAGGGGTCTGGGCACCTCCTGCTGGTCTGCCCGCTCCAGGGGACTGTAAACCCGGCCGTCCACCCAGGCCCTGGTCCTAGGGGCCCACTGTCATGGGTAAACCAGGGCCACTGCCGCGCTCATGGTTACGGGAGTCAGAGGGTGGCCAGACAGGCAGCCAAGACCCGCAGGCGGTGTCACACTGCCATCCAATTCTTCCCTCTCTGCCTGACCCCTGCCGTCATGTGGTGGTCTGTCCACCACCCGGTTACTGTCTAAGTGCCCTGGGCTCCCCGGAGCACCTGCTCATGAGCTCCGGGGAGTGGGCCACGCTCTGGGAAACGCTGCTCTACAACTCTGAGGTCCACCTTCTTCATTTGTCAAAGCCCCCAACAAACTGACCTCTGAGATGGGAACTGGCCGTTAGTCGTTTCCATAGCGGCTGGAGCTTGCGGACTGGAGGGGGCATGAGAGGGCGTGCACCCCCCATCACCGTGTGCCCCCTCATTATCCCACGACATAGTTCCGACATCGACCCGGCGTTCCACCGGGAAAGTGGAAATGTCAGAAACCTTATAGGACTGCGAATACGATGCTATACAGTCAGACTTTTATTTTCATTAATAACCATGCAATTATAATTATAATATAAATTAATATAATAAAATATTAAATTATTAATAAATTAAATATATTAATAAATAGAATTATAATTGCATGATTATTTATGATTAATCGTTACACTGTGGTTAACATTGTTAATTATTATCATTATCACTATTATTAACATAATAGGGTAACAAGATAACAAATTTTTGCCAAGGCAGACACTACAGATAAGAAGTATGAGCGTCAACTTCTCCCTTGTCGGTATGCGGCCCCCACCCGCTGGGTGCACCTCCATTCCAGGCACATCTCTGAGGTGGGGCGGAGGCCTGAACATGGGAGGAGGAGGGAGCGGGAGGGAGGAGGCTGAGCCAAATTTCCTTGATTCCAGAATTTCTCTGATTTGTATTATGGACACTGTCAGCTGATGCTAACTGGGCTTCTGCAACTTTTTCGACCTCAAAACCACGCCACGCACACCCCCTCAACAAAACAAACATGAAATTGTGTGTTATTGTTGCATATTTAGCAAGACAGGCCAGTGGAAGGATGGAGAATGGAACATGGAGAATGGAAACTGCCCTTGAGAGAGTGGGCTAGCCTGGTGGGTGGGTCGAGCTTGGAGTGGCACCTGCTGTGTGATCTGGCACATGAGCCCTGGTTCCGTCTGTACCAGCTCTGTGACGGGGGCTGACTTAGGCATACCTAGCCCCAGATTCCATGTTTGTCAAATAGGGGCAATAATAGCATGCATGCCACTGGGTTTTATGAGGCTAAATGAAATCGCGCATAGAAAGTGGCTTAGCGCAGAGCCTGCCACGTGGTACATGCTTAGTAAATGTTGGCTGTTGCCATCATGGAGACTGGTTGGGAGAGGTGGAAATGTTTAATCTAGACATAGAAGGCTTGAGTTGACCGAGGGCTGCCATTAAATCTCTGAAGAAATGGCAGGTGGAAGTTCAGTTAGATCTTGTCCACCTCTTGTGATTTGGGGTCAATACAAAGAACTTTCGATGGCATTAGGTCAACGGTCCCCAACTGCCTTGCATTCAGAGTACACTTTCAAATTCAGGAATTTGGGGTGGCACAGAGAGAAGTATTGAGGACTGATTTTAAATAAAGTTTCAGAATTCTGAGAATACAGATTTTATTTTTACAATAGTAAAATTATTTGATATTTAAATTAAATTTTCAATTGAAATTTTTTTTTTTCACAATGGTAAAATCTCGCCTTACACTCCCTGCTGATGTTTCTGCCAAGTGGCCACGTTTCTGCCCTGACCAGCCGTCCTGATATATCAGGAAACCACCGTCTTCTCGGTCTAGGACTGTGCTCTTTCTGACGCTGCTTGGTGATTGTGCTGTCCGCTTGCTTCTTAGCAACAGCAAGTTGTACCCATCGTCCACACGCATGGCCTGTTTGAACCAAGACTCTGTCGGAAAGACAGCGCCACGGCTGCGCCCACTGTTGTAGCAAATGCTCATTTCACTCTTTGCTGGACAGAAAAGTCACCAATGGTGCCTCCGTGGACGTGTGTGGCCCACCCGTGGCCACGTGGGCTCAGCCCTTGGGAGCCCATCTCGGGCTCATGCAGGAACACGCTGGACCGTCTCACGGGGAGGGCGCTGGGCCGTCGTACATGTTTAGGTAGAGGTGAAATGGGACCAGCGTGGGGACCCCTGTGCTGGCTGGAGGGGTGAGCAAGAGGCTCGAATGATCTTGCTAACTGGGGTGCCTGAGAACAAAAGAGGGGTTTCCGCTCCACCCTTAGCCCATCCCGAGACCCTCCCAACCCTCCTTCATTAGCAATGATTAACACTCTCCCCAAACGAGGCTTTGTGTTATAGGCTCTGGCACTAAAGGTTAATTGGCTCCGTAATAACTTAATCACGGAATGCGCATTACAAAGAATTATCACCAGTGTCTGTCACGTAATGATCCCCTCTCCGCGTCTCTCCACCGACTCCCTAAGTGCCTTTTAACGCGAAAGCCGCAGAGAGTTTGCCTTAAGAGCCTTGCAGGCCAAGAGATGAGCGTGCTCTGCTGCTGTAAGAGACACGATGGAGAAAGGAGAGGCGAGCCTGCATAAAGGTGGAAGAAAGATGCGAAGACGGTTGTGGAACGTGCAATCGATCGTTTTCATAACTGCTAAATATAGATTGCTTGCGTACCTGAATTATTTTAGTTTCGTTTCCTTTCGATTCTGTAATGAGAGCTTAGATGGTGTCAGAGGCCTATGTGGAGATGAGTCTCTGTTGCTAAAAATAGCAAATTAAACAGAAAGCTCGGTTAAGAAAATAAATAAAATGGAAGCAGCCAGATTGTTGTCTGGCTTAAGAACCTTCAGGCCCCGCCCGAGGGAGGAATGGAGGTGGGGGCTCCATGGTCTGAGTTGGATCATGTTGTGAGCGTGCAAGAGAGGGATGTGTGTGCCCGCTGGTGACAACATGAGGTCAGGACTGAAATATCGTCCCACTTGGAACTCTGACTTGCTCCAAAAGACTTAATTTCAGCACGTCGCTTGCTTTATTTTTAACGTGACCTGTCTCACGGAGTCCTGGGATTAATAACTATTAAAACTACGGTAAAACAGCCTGCCAAGTAAACTGTGGCAAAAGTGCTGATGATCATCGCATGGGGGAGGCTGGGAGCTAATTGGATTGTGGCGGCTTGACAGATGTGTCCGGCGGCGGTCCGTTAAAGCCGGGGCATGGTTACAGCAAGTCTGTACATGGCTGGAAACGTGAGCCCGAAACGTGTTAAGTGCGTGGAGGGACCCGCCAGCTGGGCGGGAGGACCTGCTGCGCAGCTCTGAGGCCGATCTGGAAACAGGGGGTTATCAAGGGGTCCCCCTGTGTTTCTCACGATGGAGACCCCGTCCTGCACCAACAAAGGAGGATACCTGGGCCGCCAAGGGGGGCTGGGCAGGGTTTAGATCAGAGAGTGAAGTATATTGCAGGTGAGGCTCCTGTTTTCTTTCTTAACATAATAGATGAAGAAATGTTTTTCTTTTAAAAGACCTGGCTGGGACCAAACCTTCGAGAGGGGAGAGAGGAGAGGTGCTGGAGGCAGCTGGAAGGAGCCTGTATCAGCCAGTGTGGGTCGAGTTACACTGCGGTAACAAACATCCCCAGATTCCCGTTGGCTTAACGCAATAACGGTCTGTTTCTCGCTCACCACGGTGGGTCAGGGTGACTCTCCAGATCCCGCTGACCTCCCCATGCCTCCAAAATTGTCACAGCAAAGGAAAAGAGAGCAAGGAGAGCTCCCCCACCAGCTCTTACATGCCTTCAGTTCTACTTCCAAGAGCCTTCAGTGTTGAAGAGACTGGTCTTGGAGTCAAACAGGCCTGAATTTGAGTCCCACCTGTTACCCACCAGTTGTGTGACTTTGGACAAGAAACTTACCTTCTAAACCTCTGTTCTCTCTAGGGGCCAGCCTGGTGGCACAGTGGTTAAGTGCACATGTTCCGCTTCAGTGGCCCAGGGCTCGCCGGTTCAGATCCGGGGTGTGGGTGTGGCACCGCTCGGCAGGCCACACTGTGGTAGGCGTCCCACATATAAAGTAGAGGAAGATGGGCACGGATGTTAGCTCTGGGCCAGGCTTCCTCAGCAAAAAGAGGAGGATTTTTAGCAGATGGTCGCTCAGGGCGAATCTTCCTCAAAAAAAAAAAAAAGGTAAACCTCAGTTCTCTCATCTATCAAATGGAGATAATGATGATAACGATCTTATCTCATTGTGGTGAGAATTAAATAAGATAATTTAAGTAAAATGCTCATAGTCAGTACTCAAAATGTGAGTTTTTATTAGTTATTAAAATTGTTATTAGTAGCATAAATTGCATTCTACTCACTAACACATGTAATTCAAGTCTGAAAAATAATATGGAGCAAGATTTGAAGAGCTTGTACCAACAACAAAATGTCAGGTCAAGTGCTTGGTTTCTGACGCTCCTGTCAGTCATTACTTAGCAGAACCCCCGCTTCCTTTTCTGTTTCTTTCCATAGAGTGCGCCAGATTGCTTTGCTCCATGGATGGATGGGACTGACCCTCCTGAGCTGGTTGTGGTGCTGCCACCCTCACAGACTCCTGATGTCCACCATGCGAAGAACAGATGCCAGATATAGCCGTTCAGTGCCGGAATGCGAGACACGCAGAGCGGAGCTGACCTGAAGCTCCTCTGCCCCACAGCCCAGAGCCTGGCCCAGCGGAGCCGCGTGGAGCCGTGGGCAACCTGCAGTCCCATAAATAGGAAACACATGCCCCGGGGCGGAAAGCCACTACGATTTCGGGGTTGTCTGTGACCGCAGCAGAAGCTGACTAATACACTCAGAATGTGAACAGGCCTTGAGCCCTGGCCTCATGCCAGACTTATATTCAACTTCAGCATTAAGTAACGTATATCTGTTAATGCAGAACGATGTTGCCAAGATGTTGTAGATTGAAAAGCGGCTAGTTTGAAAATACGGTTGCTACTGTGTATTTATTCGTCACTTCACGTGCACACATACGTGTGTGAATACATAAAAAGTCAGCTGTGAAAATACATACTAGAAAATTAACGATATTTGCCTCAATATTGGGAATTATAGGTGATTCTTCACAAATCATGTTTTGCATTCTTTCTAAATTGTAAAATTATTATACAGATGGTAAAAAAACAAAAACAAAACAAAACAAAACAAACATTCTAAGAGGGATATCCAATGAAAAAAAGTAAGCTGTTCTCCTGCTCTGACCCCTGGTCTCACTTATCAGAGAGAACACTTTCTTGGTGTCGTTCTAGAAGTGTTCCCCCATAGCCATATTTTCAAATGACTCTGATTCACCAATTAGCCAAAAAACTAAAGTTTAGCCAGTCTCTGAGTAAACAGACGCAAGGATCTAAAACAATCTATCCAGGGCTAATTCTTAATGTACTATGCAGAACTAATCTGTTTCTCATTAAAATTATGGATTAAATTTTAATCCCCACATTTCTACAAATAAGAAAAATAGAGTCTTTGTACCCTTATTTGTTTACTTAGTCGAAAGCTTTGAAAAAAAGAGACCTCACTTGAATGTAAGAATTCGGGATTATCTATTATGTGATTAGATCAATTTTTAAATCTTTGTTAAAGGACTTTAAAGAAAGGAAAATATTTCATAAAATCTCATTGGCTCTCCTGCACTTCCAGGCGTACCCTGTAAATTAAAAAAAATCTTCCATTTTAGTGGAATTAGCGGTTAAGATCAGAAGCCGCGTGAATGGAAAGAAAATAAATTGACACATTAAGTTCTCTGGAAGTTTACTATGTGTTTGTTTCTATGATCCAAATATGTTATTCACGGATGCTACCAAGGGAAAAAAGTCAAACAGGATGTGACAGTAAGTCAATATATGAAACAGCCGTATGAAAATTGGCGTGGGAGACTAAGTTCCTGAGAAGGTATGAGTTCTCTTTCTACTAGGGCGTCTCTCCTGGTTTGAAAGAGTTAAGTCACTGAAACTGGCTAATTTGTCCATGGAATGTGACCGGTCCTGGGGCCAGGGGAATCCCCAGGATCCCAGGAAGGCGGTTTCACCATCTAGGATGTAGAAGGTGAGACCTGAGGAATAGGTGTGGGGGTCCAGCTAAGGCGGCCAAGTCCTAGCTAAGGTCCTAGCTCAGAGAGGTGGAGTGAAATACCCAACATCACACAGCTAGCAAGCGTCAGGGCTGGGATTTCATTATTTTACAGTAATATTTATTGAGGTGTAATGGACACATACAATAAAACGCCCACATTTAAAGAGCACAGTCTGGGATGTTTTGACATCTACACAGCAAGGTTTCAACCTCAGCACTGTTGGCCAAGTCCAGCTAAGGTCTGCACTGGCCCCTCTCCAGTAGGTAAAAGTCCCTGGTCCCTTACATTCTGCCCTTCAGCCTCCTGTGCTTGGCCCTTTTCTAGATGACCCATATTCTCCTGCTGGCCTCCCCATACCCAGGAGTCCCACCCAGCCGGGTCTGCCTTCCCCTGGATCTGGGAAACCAGTGGGTGGGGAACAAAGACAAAAGAGATGGGGAATTTGGAGTCAGGGCTGTGACCACTTTGGGAAACAGTGTGGCAGGTTCTTAAAAAGTTAAACACGCCCCTACGGTCTGACTCAGTCATTCCACTGCTGGTGCTTACCCGAGAGAAACGAAAGCACATGTCTGCACAAAGACTTGTGCAAGAACGTTTACAACGGCTTGAATTGTGACAGCCCCAAACGGGAAACAGCCTAAATATCCATCATCAGGAGAACGGATAAGCTGAGTGTGGTGTGTCCACACCACGGAGACAACTCAGGGGTATGGAGCAGTGAGCTTTAATACACATGGCTGTCTGGGTCAATTTCAAATTAATGATGCTTAGTAAAAGCCACATCATAAACGAAAGTCCAAATTGTATGATTCCATTTATATAGACATCTAGAAAATACCAGAAAAATCTACAGTGCAGAAAACAGATAAGCAGTTGCCTGGGCTTGGGGTTATGTGGGAAGCAGGGACCACCAAGGGGCATGAGGGAATCTGAGGGGTGATGGAGGTGTTTGCCATCTTGATTGTGGTGGTGGGTTCAAGGACACACACACGTGCTTCTCCAAGTGGGGAAGATTTTGCTTCTCATGTGACAACGTCTGGAGACCTTTTTTTTTTTTTTATCACACCTGGGGTGTTGCTGCTGGTATCCAGTGGGCAGAGGTCACCAGGAATGCCACTAAACACCCTATAATGCACAGGACGGCGCCCCCATCAGAAAGAATTCTCCAGCCCCAAATGCCAACAGTGCTGAGGTTGAAACCTTGCTGTGTAGATGTCAAAACTTCCCAGACTGTACTCTTTAAATGTGGGCGTTTTATTGTATGTGTCCATTACACCTCAATAAATATTACTGTAAAATAATGAAATCCCAGCCCTGACGCTTGCTAGCTGTGTGATGTTGGGTATTTCACTCCACCTCTCTGAGCCCGTTTCTACTCCGAAAATATGAGAGATAGCAACATTTATTTCCCAGCGCTGCATGGCATGAAATGAGACCCTGAAATGGGAGCTGTTCCACGTCTCAAGCACGTGGAGCTGACATCAGCAGTCAGGTGAGGAACTTGAGAAATCATCCATGGAAAAGGTATTAAAACTGGGCTCAAATCCTTACAGACACCAATGGACCAAATAAAAACCACCTCTGAATTTTTAGGTAAAGGTCCCAGGCCCTTGGGCCAGCGGGAGACAGAACACTGGACAGAGATTGGCAGTCACTTTGCCTGTGAGTAACAAGGACCTTGGGATGACCTGGAGGCCTGGCTTTTAGTCTGACCCCAACAGGAAATGTGACTCTGATATGATTTATGTAAAAATACATATTTTTTTTTTTTTTTTTGGCCAAAGTTATCACTCACTGGGCTGCAGCCACAAAAACACTCAAGAAAATTGAAGAAGCTTGAAGATCTTAAAGCAAAGCCCCCTCTCGCAGGCCACCTCGACTCCGGGCTCTGTGCCGGCGAAGCTGGCTGAGGATTACTAACCGTGCACCTTTTTGCAATTTAGCTCGAGACCCAGTAATCGCGGCCTTACCCCTGCTGGGCCCCCATCGCTTCGACTCAATTGCACCTTGAGGAAGGTAAAAGGGAGAGCGGCTTAGGGAACAGGAACCGAGAGCCTCAATCAGCTCTTTGGGTGAGACAGAGAGGGTGACGCTGGCCCCCGACACAGTCCCCTGTCTTATGCGTAGTTCCGCGACCTTTTGGAATCCGGTGGCTGCAGAGGCCTCTGTAACAACCCATCACATGTCCAACACCTTTCGCTCCCAGAGTGGAGGAAGCGCTGTCCGGCCTCTGGACACAGCGGGTAAAGCCCGGAGGGAGAAGCAGAGGCTGGTCTCCCTGATGCAGTTGCTTTTCTCTGCATGGTGCAGCCACGTCTGAGCCTCTAAGAAGGCAGCAGGGATGGGCATGGATTCCAGAGACCTGCAGGACTCTCCCCATGACCTGTGGTCCTCTATTTCCCATCTATTAGGGTGATGTGAGCAGCTCTCCCTTCGGACCCCGCCGCATCCCTACCGCGGGGCCTTTGCTGTCTGCAGAATAGAACCCAGGCGTGCAGAGTGCCGGAGAAGGCTGTCAGCCTGGCGCTGCCTCTGGGGTTCACCTGGCACTCGTGACCCTACAGGCTTGCCCTCCCTGCTGCAGGAGAGCCAAACAGCCCCTGGAGCGTCCTGTCTCTGCCGATGGCCTTTTCTCTGCTGAGAACGCCGTTCCCATGTCACCTGGGCAATTCCAACCCTGCGCAGTCCTCAGGGCTCTCGTGGGACAGTGTCCCCTCCAGGTAGACTGTCTTGACGTTCCGAGGCTGGGTGACATCCCCGGGACCACGCATCCCTCATGGCTCCCACCATAGCATTGACTGTGGGGCTGGCCTTCTCTGTCAGGGGTCCCTCTCTCTGACTGGACTGAGACAGGGGCCATGTCTTGGTCACCTCTGACCTCTCAGTTCGGTGCCTTGAACAGAGACACCCTCAATTGCTGTGTGTTGAATACACATGCTCATTAAGAGTTGGATGAAACTGGCTTTCTTGAGAGATTTTGTGATCTCAGATATCAAGCAGAAGGAGAGGGCAGATGACGGACGGGGAGACGCCAGCTTCCAGAGCCCCGCTCAGCCCTCGGTGCTTCGAGGCTCGTTTTGGACTAAAGGTGCCTCTGAAACTGCCTGGGCGCCAGCTGCTCGGTTCAGAACAGGCCGGGCTGGTCGAGTGGGTTGTGTGGGGCAAGAATCAGGAAGAAGGAGGTTGCTCTTCGTAATCCGGCTTGTTTATCCAACAAACAACAAAACAGGGCAGGATTGTTCCGAGATGCCGGAAGGCGGCCTTGAGAAAGCCCGCACTGGACAGAGAGGTCTGCTCAAGAATGCACAGGGCCTGGGAAAGGCAGAGAGGGCTGGAAGCTGGTGTGAGAACGCAGGGAAGGGCCCGTGCTGCGGCGCTGGCTCCAGAGCGTCGATTGTGGGCATTTCTTCCCAGCTCTGTGGTCCATGAGGTCACTACGTGAGTGGTCAATTTTTTGTGTCAACTCGACGGGGCCGGGGGCGGGCCCAGATATTCAGTCAAATGTGATCCTGGGCGTGTCTATGAGGGCGCTTCTGGATGAGATTACATTTGAACCGGTAGACCGGTCCACCAGATCATCCTCCCCCAAGTGGGTGGGCTTCAGAGGCCACAGTTTAGTTCTGCCGTCACCGTTTCCTCTTGGCCAAGAGACCTGGATGTGGCAAGACGAGCAGAGGCTGCACCCTGGAGTCATTCCCGTCCCTCCCAACCTTTCACCCGGCTGGGATGGTCCTTCATTTTTCCTTTATCTTGGGGGCCCTGGGGTGCAGAGGGCCGTGTTAATGACCCTTCTCTATACTCAGTCCAGGGCCCCTGCTGTCCACGTCCATCCTCGTGTTCATACCAACTCGTATGTTTGCCACATGCGTGTGACACGTGTGTGACGCGTGTGCCACTGTACAGGACCCGGAGCGCTATTTCCAGTGAGTGAGTACTTGCAATTGACGGGAATGCTTTTGTGCACTGGATCCTGTTCTCTTTCAAGCTTTTTCCCCTCGATGCTGTTTTTGTTGTTGGTGGTGGTGGTTTAAAAAAAAAAATCACGGTAAAATACACACGAGATAAAATTTACCATCCGTGGCATTAAGTACATTCACATTGTTGTGCAACTCTCATCACCATCCATTTCCATAAATTTTTTTCATCTCTGTCCCATTAAACGTCAACTCCCCGTTTCCCTCTTTCTCCAGCCCTTGGCACCCACTGTTATGCTTTCTGTCACTATGAATTTGACAACTCTAGGGACCTCCTGTAGGTGGAATCACACTGTATTTGTCCTTCTGTGGCTGGCTTATTTCACTCAGCATAATGTCCTCAAGCTCCATCCATGTTATCACATGTGTCAGAATTTCCTTCCCTTTTAAGCCTGAGTAATATTCCATTGTGTGGTTAGACCACATTTTTTTATCCATTCATCCATTGATGGGCACTTGGATTGTTTCCATGTTCTGGCTATTGTGAATAATGCTGCTCTCAACGTAAGCGTACAAATATCTCTTTGAGACCCTGCTTTCAGTTCTTTTGTGTGTGTACCCAGAGGTGGAATGGCTGGATCATATGACAGTTCTATTTTTAATTTTTCGAGGACCCGCCGTACTGTTTTCCACAGTGGCTGCGTCATTTTACATTCCCACTGACAGTGAACCAGGTTCCAATTTCTTCACATCCTGGCCAACACTTGTCGTTTCTTGTCTTTTGGATAGAGGTCGTCCTAATGGGTGTGAGGTGGCCCTCACTGTTGTTTCGAACTGTCCCCACGTTGCTGTGTGCACACCCATCCCATGGAGCGAGGGTCCTGTGTAGTCCCGTTTGCTGTTTCACGATGTTTCACTGACCCAGCGGCCGACTGCGGGCTGCCAGGCTGCCCCACGCCCTCACCTCTGCAAACTGTGCCCACTGCATCCTGGGCACGTGTCCTGCCGGGGAGGAGCAGGGAGAGTCTCTCCGGGGCAGCCTTCATGAGCCTGATGGCTGGATCGCCGACCCACACGGTTCTGCCCTTTCCAGGCTGGCACGTTCTGGATCCGCCCCTCACGGTGGTCTTGGGGGGGCTCCTGCCTCCTCACCATGTCACCGGCGCTCGGCGTTAGCCAAACCCTCTGACTTCTACAACTCTGAGAGGTGTATAGGGAATTGCCACGTTTTAATTTGCGTTTCTCTGATCACCGGTGGATCTGAGCAGCCATACCCTAGCGTGTGCGTCATGTGCATCTTCCTTTCTGTGAATTGCCTATTTGGGTTGCTTTTCCCCTTTATGGGTTTTCCTTAAAGTATCATTCCCACCATCTGTCTTTGAAACAGGAGGAAAACCGGTGACTTTTAACTAGAAGCCGACTTTCGACAGCAGGAGCGTGCCATGTGCACGCGAAGAGCAGGTCCAGCTGAACATGGTCTTCCCAGGTACGCTTTCCTGTCACTGCGGTGCAGCACGGCGAGCTTGGCACGTGGCCTTAGGATGCAACCGAGGACGGGGCTCGGAGGCTGGCGAATGGGGGCCGGGGGCAGGGGTGGAGCCGCAGCCGTCTGCCATCCCTGCGCCCACATTTATTGTTCCAGTTGTGCTGCAAGCCAGAGGCTTGCCATGCTTTCAACACTCACTCGGTGGTCGGTCCCGTTGCTCCTTCAGGTGATGACAAGCAAAAGGGTGCAGTCACTCGGGAAGCCGGCCGGCCACTGTCCACTGTCACAGCAGCCAGGCAAGTGTGGTACTCAGAGCCCCGCATGCAAACCTCGGGATACGACGCAGGATTTTTAAAGGCTGGATCTGAAAGCCACTAGATCATGGGATTCTAAAAACGTCTGTTCTAAATTGTCAGCACAATGCTCAAGGCCAACTGCTCCGTGCCAGGAAAGGGATCCCCGGAGCACATGGGCAGGTGCCAGAAGGGCTGATGAAATGCTGCAGTTTCGGGCAGTGCTTCCAGGAAACCAGTCCCATGAGATTGCTCCCTGTAGCGAGATGGGCGATGCCTGCACAAGGCCTGGGGACACTGTCCACATCCACTGAGGATGTGACTGGGTCCCTGGAGTGGGAAACAGCAGACCTGCCCATCGCTGAGACCGTGTCAAACTAAGGCCCAGAGCTCTGGCCTCGTCCTTTTAGGGACAGAGAGTTGTGACTTGGTCTGGGAAGAGAAGCAGGTGGCAAGGTGGGGAGTGACATCCCTCCCTAGAGAGGGGAAGCCCCACCCCTCCAGCCTCTGGTCCAACAGGCAGCAGTACCAGTCCTCTGAGCCGGCTGCCTCTTCTCACATCTCTCTCCAGAGTGCGCTTGCCAGCGAATAAAGGTTTAGAGTAATCAGGCCCCAAATATGGCTTGTGATTGATTTACACTAAAAAATTATTGTCTGAAATTCACATTTGACTGTGCATCCTGTGTTTTAAAAAATTTTATCGATGTCATCCTTTTTAAAAAGCAGTTGTAGGTTCACAGCAAACAGGAGCAGAACGTACAGAGAATTCTCACATCCCACATACCCTCTATCGTCCCCTCCCCAACCAGCCTCTCCCACAGCCCACACCCCTCGCCAGAGGGCTGTGTTTGTTATAAGCCATGAACCTACAGTGACACGTCATCACCCGGAGTCCACAGCTGACCTCGGGGTTCACTCTTGGCGGTATGGGCGGATGTATAATGACCTGTATCCATCTGGAGGAGGGTCGGCCCTAAATCCAATGACGAGTGTCCTTATGAGAGGAGAAGGCCCTGTGAAGATGGAGGCAGGCTTTGGAAGGATGTGTCTACAAGCCAAGGGATGCCACGGCTAGCTGGCTGTCACCAGACCCTGGGAGAGAACGCTGGAACGATTCTCCCTCAGCCTCCAGAAGGACCCCACCCTGCTGACACCTGGATTTCAGACTCCTGGTCTCCAGAACTGAGAGAGGATCAATTTCTGTCGTCTGAAGCCACTCAGTTTGTGGGCATGCGTTACGGTCACCCTAGGACACCGAAACAGGACGTGATGAGGAAAGGGAGATAAACACGTCAGTCAAGGTACAGCCTCCGTACAAGAGAGCCACACACGCGGCAAACCCGAAACCGTTTCTAGAGGTAGACCAGGGAAGACAACATGTGTGCTGTTTATCACAACAGGAAAACTAAACAACAAGGACAAGAAGGGAGAAGTGGCCACACGGCACAGATAAAAATGTGAGAAATGCTATATTTCACAATTTTATCTGTTCTGCCACTCTGACTCAGTGATCAATGAGGATCTGTCTTTTTTCCACCCAAAAAGAACATGTTGCATAAGCTCAGGCTTCCAGGGACCAGCGGAAAGCAGAAAACACCATCTGAAGCTCTCCCCAGTCAGCTCAACGAGTGGCCCCCGTTCCCCAGACGGCGTCCGCGAAGCCGTAGAGATGAGCTGATGTCTGCTCACCCCGGGAGGGAGGCGGGGGCGCAGGTACTGACGGTGCCAGTTCAGGGGTTCAAGAGAAAATGCCGGCAGGCGGCTTCAGCAAAGACTTAGAATTTGTCGGCATCAGTGCTCTTTCCCGGAGAAAAGCCTTCTTGGAAATTCTGCGTTTTCTTAAGGAACACGAAGAACATTTCCAAGGGCGTGTTAGGCCTCAGCCTTTCAGAACAACCCTGTTTGCTAAGCTTTGTGCCTCGCCCATCTCTGCCAGTCAGCACCTGAAGGTGTCCCCAGGGCAGGGGAGGGAGGGAATTTGAGATCAGAGGGCCACCGTGGTGTTTGGGGACACTGGAAATGACGGGTGGCCCTCCATGCCCTGGACACCTGGGTCTGGGCTGTTGTCTCCTTCACATGTGGTCCCTCCTGCTTTGCTTCATCAGTGGCAGGACAGGGTTACCTCTGCAGCGAGCCCCACTGGGCCACGTCCACGGCAACCTTAATAGAGAGGGGCAGCGCCAGTCTGACGGACAACCCACGTGTTCGGCATCCAGGGACGCCACGATGAAGTGCCCACCTCACACAGCGCTCCCTTCCCCCCGTGTCCTGAAACCCCCTCCTCTGGGGAGCCCCAGACAATGCATTGCTTCCTCCACGGTTCTTCCCCGAACACGCAGCCTGTGACCCTGTTACAATACTTAGCGCACAGCCAGTGGTCCCGTCAGGAGACAGAAACCACACAGCTGTTTTAGCAGAGACAATTTAATAAAGAAGAATGTAGCAGGATTGCCATCTGGGTATAAAGTTATTGGCACCTTGTTTATAAAGGTCCTGTGAGAACCCCAAGGCATCACGGGGTAGAACTGTAGGCAGCAGCTACCTCCTAAAGAGAAGGGGTTGGAGGGATGATAACGTGGAAGCCGGGAAGGGAGACCCCACGGTGCTCAACGTCTGACCTCTGGGGAGGAGACACCGGCCAGCCAATGGGGTGGGTGTCTCTGAGGGGGACAGTGTCACTGATTCTGCAAGTAATGGAAGTATGCAGACTGCATCAACTGCGGTGTGAGAAGGAACAGCCACTGCTACAGTGAAGAAGTGTCACTGGGGATGCTCCCAGAAACAGGGAGCAGACAGGAAGGACCCGTCCCTCCACCTCCAGCCCTGCAGCCTCCTCCGGCGTCCACTCCCGGCGGAGCCCCCCGGGGAACAGCTGGCGTGGTTTGCAGCATCCCAGCCCCGGCTTCACAGGGCGGGCCGTGGAACTGAGGTTTGGAACCGGGAGCCCACAGCTTTATCACTGGCACGGTCCTCTCCTTCGCTTCTCAGCTTCCAGACACACCTTTTACTCCTATCTGAACTCCCCTGCAGAAACAGCAAGGACTTTGTGTGTCTGTCCAACAAGCTTCCCACAGCTAATACCCTTCATGCAGATGAAGGCGTTCTCACCCTCTCCCCGACGTGAGGAGCTGCGGGGCCCACGCATCTCGTGTCCATCTTTGGGAGGTGTCACACTGCAGCTCTGGGCTCCATCACATACTTCCCAAATCCAGTCACAGGCTGCACTGGTTCCCTACGGCTGCTGTTACAAATTGCTGCAAATTTAGTGGCTTCAGACGACACAGATTTATATCTTGCAGCTCTGGAGCAGCTCAGAAGTCTGACCGGGGTCTGGCTGGGCTTAAATTGCCAGGGCTGTGTTCCTTCTGGAGGCTCTTGGGGAAAATGTATTTCCAGCCTTTTCCAGCTTCTGGAGGCTGCCCCATTTCTCGCCTCCTGGGCTCTTCCTCCATCTTTAAAGGCAGAAATACTCCATCTTTCTCTCCACTCTTCTTTTCTGAATCCCTAAGGTCTTCCCGGAGTCTGACACAGCAGGACGCTCAGTAAATACAAGGCAGCGGATTCTTATAAGTGTGGCTCCGTGTGAGTCCTTCTTTTCCAGGAGATTATAAGCACCAGAGAACCAGGCTGTGTCTACATCACCAAGAGGGCTGCCTCCATCAAATCCAGGCACGATTGGACCTACGTGCCTGAAACAAGCATATCGAAGATTAATACGTGTTTTTCAATTGGCTTAAATTTTTTCGGTAAAGCAGTCAGCATGTTAACCTCCCTTCTGTTAAAGAAATGATCAAGAATTCATACCCTCGTAAGAATTAGTTCATAAATTCTCCATCAAAGAGTAGAATGGGAAAAGAAAGAGGGATAGTGTGAAAGCACAAAGCATGTTGTAGAGGGTTAAATGGGGCCCCCACCCCAAATATGTCTAAATCCTAACCCCCATACTTGGGAACGATGACCTTATTTGGAAATAGGATTTTTGCAGATGAAATTAACTTCAGGGTCTCAAGATGGGATCGCCCTGGACTTATGGTGGGTCCTAAATCCAGGGATGGGTGTCCTTATAATAACTGGAGAAGACACAGAGCCACGGTGGGGACGGTGACGTGAAGACAGAGGCAGAGATTGGAGAGCTCCGTCTACCAGCCAGGGACCGCCAAGGGTCGCCGGCAACCGCCAGAAGCTGGAAGAGGCGAGGACGGATTCACCCCTGGAGCCGCCAGCAGGAGCGCAGCCCTGCTGACACCTTATTTGGGACTCTGGCCAGAGTTCTGGTGAGAGAATATGTTTCTGATGTTGTTAAACCACCCAGTTTGTGGTTCTTTGTTACACCAGCCACAGGAAACGAATGCACGTGCCTAGCGGGACAGTGGACCAGATGAAATGGCTCAATGTGGGACCCTTCTGGGGGCCATCAGGTAGCAGAGGGGGAAGTGAGGAGAGAGGGGCTCAGGAAGACACCATAAAAAGGAGCAGGTGAGTGTCCCCAGGAAATACCTACCCTTCACGATTGTATGCAGGGCAGTTCTTGGCGATGGCTGACTGGCCATCACAAGAGCCAAGGTGGACCCAGCTCTGGATGGGGAGAGCCTGGCTCTGCGGTGGCCCCACTTTGGGCTGAGAAACTCTGTACCTATAAGTTGGGTACATGGTGGAACCCCTGGTCAAAGGATGCCCGCCTCCAAGAGGAAAGGTTTTCAGGCTAATTCAGCAGGTGAGGGTGGGCACGGGGTGGGAGACACTGCCTCTTCACGGTCTATAGGATCCGGTCGCTTAGGGCTCTTGGGACAGTGGAGGAAACACAAGTGTTCTCCCAGCAGGGTGGACCTCAGAATGAATACGCCCACAGCTTCAAATACAGGAGAGCAGCACCTAGAAGCATCCGGAATGTTTTCTTTTGGTGAAGGAACAGGAAAGGATCAGGAAATTACAAGAAAATGAAAGTGACACCAAAGCGGGTGGGGGATAGAACAGTAATCGGGGAAACGATCACGTCCCGGGTCCCCATTGATCGGAAACAATGGCCTGAGCTTCCGTGAACAATCTGCAGCAACCCCGAGGAGAATGGAAGTCGGGCTGTGTCGGTGGAGGACGAATTCCAAGGAGACAACTTGACAGTTTCTGTCTGCAGACGCACGACTCCCCCGGAGAGCGAGGAGCGGGGCGGCAATTACAGGATTTGAACGTTGCTGCCGCATTTGGGCACCATGACCAACGGAAGCTTGGAGAGAAGACTTTGCCTTGGCTTCCTGGTGTGAGTATAAAAAGTGGAGGAGAACGTGCTGGGAAGGTGCTCTGTTCTGCCGGGAGACCATCGCCGGGCAGCCCCTGCCCACAGGCGAGTTGGGCGGCAAACACGTTTTTTTAACGTGACAACATTTTCAACAAAATTTTAACGTCACGTGTTGACATGGTGCTATGAAGCGCTGTCATGGGATTAAGAGGGAACTCAGAGGGCAGCCATTGCATGCTTGGTCCACATCAGCAGTCACCCCGTAAGAGCCACGGAGAAGACAGCAAGTGGTGGCCCCCTTTTTACTTGTCTGCTCTCCACCTCCAAGGGCTGCAGGATCTTGAACCTCGCGACAGAACCTTGTTCTGTGTTCTAGTAATCTGTTACTGGGTAAGAACCACCCCCGAAATGTAGTACCTTCAAACAGCATC